CACTGCCTATAGGACTGCCATGAGTTGGAATGGACTGCATGGCAGTGAGTTTGGGTTTTTTTTTTTTTTTTGGTTATAGAGTTGGGGAGACGTACCCCGGCCACTGCTCTGAGATCTTTTGAACTTTTAGCCTTGAGAAAACTGGTTTCCTAAAGTCAAACAATAGCCTAGCTTAACAAAGACCATTTTACCTTAGGCCTAGGAGCCCTTTTGAAGGATTACCTATGTCCTTCAGTCTCCAGCAACAGAAACTCCAAGATCAGATTAGAAGCTGTTGTAGGGTAAATGGTTACTACCTAAACACTGTTTTGGCCTCGTTTCCATGGCAATGGCAGTAAGCTGAAATACAAGAATCTTTAGAAGTTCTTGTCACCTTTGGAACATTTTTGACTCTCTGGTGGCATAGTGCCTAAGGCATTTGACTGCTAACCAAAAGGTTGGAGGTTCAAACCCACCAGACACTCCTGGAAAAGAAAGTTGTCCAATCTACTTCCATAGAGCTGCCTCGGAAACTTAAGGAGGGGTAGCTTTGAGTTGGATTCGACTCCAGGGCATCGAGTTTGGTTTTCTGTTTAGTCCAAATGGTGGCGTAATGCCTAAGACGTTACTGCTAATCAGAAGGCTTGTGGTTCAAACCCACCATCCACTCCTCAGAAGGCAGACTGGGCAATCTACTTCCGTAGAGACACCCCCCTCAGAAACCCAAGAAGGGGTTGCTATGAGTCAGGACCAACTAGACAGCGGTGAGTTTGGTTGCTTTTGGTTAGTCCAAATGGAAAGAGCCCTGGAGGCGCAGTGGTTAAGCGCTTGGGTACTAAGCAAAAGGCCCACCAGCTGCTTTGAGGGAGAAAGGTGTGGGAGTCTGGTCTCTAAGCTTTACAGCTTTGTAAACCCAATGGGGCAGTTCTACTCTGTCCTGTAACGTCTATGAAACGGAATCCAGTCAACGGTAGGTTTGGTTTGGTTTTAATCAAAACGGTACCCCAATTTGTAAATCAGGTATTAAATAAACTTGAAGTTAATTTATATTATTGGCTTACTATGATTTTTAACAGGTTTAAAGTTTAAGACCATTTCAGGAGCTTATCCAGCCTCAGTGGCTCCAGAAACACCATCCCATTTTACAGACGAAGACACTGAGGTGCTGGCTCGGAGCCAGGTGCTGTTAGGGGCCTTGGGATCTGGCCCCCGTCCTGCAGTGGAGCGCCCATGCTTGCGGCTCGAAGCTCCTGTCGCCAAGACCCAATCCCCCGCCAGTACTTGACCCCTGAGTCCGACGCTCTTCACCTTGGAGCTCTCTGCTCTCGACCCCACCCACCCGCCGCCTCCCCGCATAGCCTCAGGAAAACATCCCCGAACCTCCCTGGTCCTGATCTTGGGTGAAGGAAACCGAGGCCAGAGTTAACAGTCAACCCACAGGACTTGGAGCTACGCATGTAGAAAGCCCTCGCAGGCTCAAGGGTTTACCTACAGGAGGGTCTCCTTGGTCACGGAGCCCTCAACCGTGCACTCTCACGGCGGGGAACCCTCGCGAAACAAGGGGGGTGAGTAGAGACGTCGGGAGCCAGCTCCTACAGAGTCGCCGCAAAGAACGTTCGCCGGGGTCGCCCTGGGGACAAGCACCAGACCCGTCCCGCATGCGCCCTGCCCACGTCCCTGCTGTCGGCGGGAAGAGGCGGAGGCGGTTAGTGCGCAGGCGCGTGCTTGGAGCGCGGCGAAGTGGGGAGTGTGATCCTGAGCGCAACTCCGCGACGGGCTCAGCGCGCAGGCGTGAGCTCCCCGCCTTGGAGCGAGGCGGCTTGGAAAGTGCGCACGCGCGGGAGTTTCTGGCAGAGAGCAGGCGAGCCCGGGCCGGCGCGGGGCCTTGTGGGAGGGCTTAAGGAAGTAAAATGGCGGATCTGGCGAACGAAGGTAGGGGAGGCGCCGTCGGGGGCCAGCTGGCGTACAGGGAGCGGGGGGGGGGTAGTCCCAGGGACCACAGGCTCGAGGGGTGAGCCTCATAGAGTGAAAGGATCCTGTGGGCTCCGGGCTAGCGGCCCAGCGGACCCCGCAGCCGTCCCCTATTGCGTCCCCTCAGGCTGGGCTCACCGGCCCGGCCCATCACTCCCGCCAGCCCCGGCCTCAGTCACTGTCCGACCAGAGGAGCCGAGAGGCAGCTGATACCGCGGCCCTGAGGTCCTGCCGCCGCGCAAACCAGGCCCGGAGCCGAAGGGGGCGGGAGGCGCGGCCTCACTGCATCCGCCTCGGATGTAAATAGACCGTCGGGCCTGGTTGTGGGCCTGAGCGCGCCACGCTCCCTCTGCCGCTCCCTCGTTTTCGGGGACTCCTGCTTGCCCCTTCTCCGGCCTGGCTGCCGAGCTGGGCTGCCCCCAAATCCTGTGAGTTTCTCATCCCCTGCGCCGAGGATGGCAGAAGTCCGATGTGTTCTCACTCCCCTATTCGCAACTCGTCCCCCTATTCCCGCCACCTCCCCGGGATCCTTCGAGGCAGCTGAGAGTCGAGCCCTGTTTCTCCTCATTTTAGGCTCCCCCTTAGGATCCGGGCCGCTGAAAGCCCTCTCTTTAGCCTTTTCTTTTTCTTTCCTTTTCCCTTCTGCATTTCCTTCCTCGGTAGAGCACTGACATCCCATCCGAGCGTTTTTGAGGGGATACAGTTCGATAGTCTCCAGAGAAAGCACGCTATAAAGCTGCTGTGTGGTTAGATCAGTAGCGTAGCATCAGGACTTCCAAAGCCTGTTCTAGCACAGCTGCAAGGAGGCCATCACCTGTGTGTCACTGATTCCCCATAGGATGTTCCCTGCTATTGGAGGGTGTCCTGAGGTGTCCACACTGGACTGCACTAACGCATGAATGATGATAATAAGTCTTGACATGTGTTATCTCTGGTAATACTCACTCCTCACAAAAGCTCTGTGAGGTGAGTACTGCTCCCCCCATCCTCTTGGTGAGGAAGTGAGTTAGGGGTGGTTAAATCTCTTGCCCAAGTCACAGTGCTGGTAAAGATCAGGGATGTGAATTGAGGGGTCTGGCTTCAGAGCCCCCCCTGACCATTTGATGCTGCACCTCTAAGTTGTGCATTCCAACTAAGTAAGATCCAATTTGGAGCCCTGGTGGCACAATGGTTAAGTACTCGACTGCTTACTGAAAGGTTAGCAGTTTTATTCCACCCAGAGCTTCTGCAGGAGAAGACCCAGCAATCTGCTCCTGTAAAGATTATAGCCAAGAAAACCCTGTGGGGCCATTGTACTGTCACATGGGGTTGCTATGAGTCAAAATCAACTCGACAACGCCTAATGACAACAATCCAGTTAAAGGCAGAAGAGGGACTGGATAAAAGAGAATCCAGCCCACCCACTGCTGTCAAGTAGATTGCCCAATTTTCCTTCCAAGGAGTGGCTGATGGGTTTGATGTATCTTTGGCCCTGACAGCTCAAGACTCATATATCCAATAGCTGATTTGATGTCTACACTTGGATGTCTAACAGGCATAATGAACAGCATGTCCAAAATGAAATTCCAATTTTCCCTTCCCCAAACCTGTCCCCCCACCCCTGCAATGGTCTTTCTCCCAACAGCTGTAAATGGCAAATCCGTTCATTCAGTTGCTCAGGACAATTGACCACTCACTCTCTTGCTCTCACACCCTACAGCCAGTCCAACAAATCCTGTCTGTGTTCCCTAACTGATAATTCCAGAGGGTGACCATTTTTCACCACCAACACAGCCACCACTTGGGCCTTCTGTCTTCCCACCATGACCCATCCAACAACTCCTCAACCCAGAAGCCAGAATGGCCCCCTCATACCTCCTTGACCATCTCCCCCACCACTGTCTCCTTGGCTCACTCTGTTTTAACCACTCTGGCTTTCTCATACTTTCTCATACTTCTTGAATATTACAGAAACTCCCACCTTCAGGCCTTTGGACCTGCTGGTTCCTTTTCATGAAACTGTCTTCCTCGTATATCCCCATCACTAGCACCTCTACCTCCTACAGATTTTTACTCACGTTAACTTTATCATTGAGAACTTCACTGGCTCCCTATTTTAAGTTGCATCCACATTCTCTATCCCCCTTACCGTGTTTCATTTTGCTCCGTGGCACTTGTCACCATCTGGTTTGACTCCTCCTTTCCTAGAATATAAGCTCCACGAGGATACAAGTTTTTTCAATCTGTCATGATCACTGTTAGAGCTCCTGCATCTTCAAGAGTGCTTTGCGCAGAGGTAACCAAGAATTGTTTATGGAATGAATGAATGGATTTATCCATAAGGACCCTTGTTGTGAAGGATACCTTTAGTCACAAAGGAAAAATCATGGGTTGCTGTTTTCCAGGGAATACTGTTTCTAGAATATGGCAGATATGTGAACTGTTGATTGTAAGTTGAATAAATAAGTGTAGAATAGAGATATGGAATATTTTGTGCTGTAAGTTTTTGCATAATAAATATCATAACTAGTAATCATTTGCTGGTGAGTCAGTTCCTACTCACAGTGACCTCGTGTGTCAGAGTGTAACTGTGCTCCATAGGGCTTTCAGTGCCATGTTATTTGTTGTCAAGTGGATTCCCATTCATAGCGATTGTACATGAAATCCTATGCCCCATAGGATTTCCTAGGCTATAATCTTTATGGAAGCAGATCACCAGGTCTTTTCTCCTGAAGAGGGGCTGGTTGGGTTCAAACTGCTGTCCTTTTGGTTAGCTACCAAGGGCTTAACCACTGTACTTCCAGTGCTCACTTTTTAGTCCCCTACTCATCTGCCACTAGTTCTAGGATAGTTGTGCTCAGGAAATCAAATCTTAGTGGATTTTTGTGCTTCAGTTGTTGCTGCCGTCCTTCATTTGTCACTGTCTGTTTCTTGAAGGCTCCATTTCTGCTTTTGGCTTGGACATCCTCCTAGAATGAAGTTCTACCACCTGTGTAAAGTAGGACTTCCCTGCCTGAGCATTTTGAAGTGTTAGGGTCTGCTATATAATTGAGTCTTCCATCTTTTTAAGCTGCAGTCAGATGCCCTCTTTGCTTCTGCCTTTCTAGACTGGGATCCTCAGGTGGTCCATCATCACCCTGAAGTTCCTCCTCCATCTCTCCTCATTGTCTCTCTTCTCTGAGCCTTTCCTTCCTCTTTACCTGTCTGAGGCAGTGGTTGTCCACTCTTGCTGGGCATCATAATTACCTGAGAGAGCCAAAGTATTGGATGAGCCTGGACATCTGCAGGGATCAGAAGCACAGAGATTCTGGGATGCAATCAAGGTTGAGAACCACTGGTTTGAGTCTTAGGTTAGGTGAACTGTGCTTGTGTGCAAGGAATTGTTTTCATTTGTGTCCAGTGCAATATCCTAGTGGCCCTCATTGCCATGGCGATCTCTTCAGGGGTGGTGACAGCAGTACTAACAACCCTCCGTGGTCTATAACTTATAAAGTCCATTTGGGGTACTTCTGTCCCAGGAGTGTATGTGTGCATATATGTTTTCCACTTGTGTCCAGGGATGGTCTCTTCTGCTTGGCATTTTGCTGTTGGCACATCTCAGACTTGGTAGTCATCCTAGTTCTGGCTTTATTCTGCACTGTGACTGGATTTGAAGGTAGAGTTCTGTCCCTGCTAAAGATGATAATGGGGAAAGGGTAAGCGCAGTATATGTGAACTGTAGGAAATCTCAAATTCTAGGTCCTGGCATTCAAATATAAACTCCTGTGGGCCTTGTAGACATGTATGGTAGAGACCATGGAGACAGTGTAAAATAGGGGTCTCTACCTCAGCACTGTTGATTTGGGGCCAGATAATTCTTTGTTGTAAGGGGCCATTCTGTGCACTGGACATTGAACAGCATCCCTGGCCTCTATTCACTAATGGCAGTAGCACCCTTCTCCCCAAAGTTGTGAAGACAGAAAACTGTCTCCATATATTTGCCAGATGTCCCCCAGTGAAAGTACTGTGCCTCCCCCCTCCCCCACCCCAGGTGAGACCTGCTGGTATAAAAGGATGCTAGACACATAAGCTTTGGCTCATAGAGAACTGGTTTGGGTGTTAACACTGCTCTGAGTAACTTTGGGCAGATTACTTAGCCACTTTAAACCTCAGTTTCCTCATCTGTAGAATGGGAATCTTCATTACACTGGTCTCATGGCTGTTGTGAGCCTTTGCTGAGTTAATGCCCATAAATTATTCAGCATCACTCTTAGCCCCCAGTGATACACACCCAGTAAATGGTAACTACTCTTAGGTACCATAGTAGAGGAGCCCTGGTGACAAAAACAGTTAAGTGCTTGGCTGGTAGCAGAAAGATTGATGCTTTGAATCCAGGCAGTGGCTCTGTGGGAGCAAAGACCTGGTGATCTGCTTCTGTAAAGATTACAGCCTAGGAAACCCTATGGAGCAGTTCTGTGTCACATGGGGTCAGTAAGAGTTGGAACCAACCCAGCAGCACCAAACAGCAACTTTTTATTACATTTGTATTCATGCTGTAGACACATTTACTTAAGTGCTTAGCAGAGAAGAGAGAGAGGGACATGAGCCTAAGCTGTGCAGGTGAATTTGCCCCACACTGTGAGATACCGGGTGAGCTGTGATGGAGACCATAGAGAGCCGGGCCAGCAGTCCTCTTGCTCTTCCTTGCCTTTCACCCAGTGATTAGCTGGCCCAAGGTTCTCAACCTCAGCGTTAATGGCATTTTGAGCCAAATGGATACACAAACAGTTAAGCCCTCGACTGCTAGCCAAAAGGTTAGATATTTGAATCCACACAGAGGTGCCTTAGAAGAAAGACCTGACCATCTGCTTCTGAAAGATCATAGCCATTGAAAACACTCTGGAGCATCGTTCTGCTCTGACACACGTGGGGTCATATGACTCAGACAACCCAAGGGCAACTGGTTTGGAGAGCCGATGAGCTTAGAATGGCATTTGGAGGAG